GGGCACCGTGTAGACGGTGCCTGCAATGTCAAACTCTCACGCCCAAAGCCCGCCCAAGACATGTTTGGAACAGGCACTGCAGCAGCTTGCTTGCATGTTTGCTAAACTCAATTAATCGAATGCAACTTGCAATTGGCAGCAAGAGCGAGCTCTCTGCTGCCAAGCTGCATGAGCTCTCGGATGCGCCGTAGAAGTTCCGCAGCGTCACCGACAGCCCACGGTGGCCTTGGCAGTGCGGCAGGGAGAAGGGCAGCAAAGAGAGCAGCACCGCCGGGACTGCCTCACAGAAAATCACCTGAACCGTCAGGCAAGCTGCCTGCCACACGGTTGGCCAGCTGCGATGTCAACGGCTCGCCCACGGTCGTGATGACACGGAGACCCCTCAAGGAGCCCTGTGCAAAGCGGCTTGCATGCACGAACTGAAGAAGAAACTCGCACCCCTCAGACTGCATCCCAGCCCCCGGCCTGCGCAACGTCCAGGAGCAAGTCCAGGACGGAAGGCGTGATCATGAGCACGTCCACGTGGAACTTCTCGATGGTTTGGGCCATGTACTGCGGGCTCTTGTGGCCATCGGCACTAGCGACGACGAGCTTGCCACCCCTGATCAAGGCTGGGAAGACCTCCCACTCCATGACTGCCCAGAAGTAGGGAGACTTGAAGAGCTGCACAGAGCTCTCCGACATCCCATGCTCCTCTGCCCAGAACCACGCACCGTGCAAGAGATGCTGGTGGTCGTAGACGATGCCCTTGGGCTCACCGGTGGATCCGGACGTGTAGATCAGCATAGCCACGTCCCCCGTGTCGCAGATGCCAGCGCCGCGCTGCAGAGCTGGTCGCTGGGCTTCGGTCACCGTGAAGCTTCCGAAGGAGGAGATCGCCACCCAGTGGAGCCCGAGATCTGCGGCGAGCTGCTTGCACTCCTGCATGCAGCAACTGGCTACGTAATTAGCCACTGCAAGTAACTGGGAAATCAAATCGTCTGCCGAACGACAAGGCAGCTCGAAGGCACGCGCCTGGGAGTTGGCGTC